AGAAAAGACTGCTTGGGTCTTTAAGGCATTCTTTCATTCCTGCCACCTCTCTCCATCTCAATGCCTGACCCAGTCTTTGCTTGTGGCAATTTAGACACTTTTAGCTTTTTTGGGAGCCCCGTCTGAATTGCCTAGCAGTTGGAACAAAATGTGACAGAAGTCTAAGAGATTATCTTATGCAAGGACCTGGGGTTCAGTATGTAATTAGAAAACCCTGGGGTAACCTAAAACCCTGCAGAATGCAGAGCTGTTTAATCTGTTACTCAAGCTCACATTGTTGTAAGCTCTGATGCTTCCAGTTCCAACATTGCAAAAGCTGGTGAGGGTGGCAAGCATCTTGACTATTCCTGCTTAAAGCAACCTTACATTGCTCTCAAATTAAATTCTAATGGAAAGTTCTGAGAATTATGAAAAGTCTTTGGTGATGGTAGAAAATGAAAAATGACTGCAATCAACAAAGGAATTGGCTTACTTTATCCCAAAACCAAAAAACAAATATTCACCAGAAAAGGGACCTGGGGGAATCTAGATATTTTTTTCCTACATATTATATTTTTAAAATTTAAATCTAGACAACTTTTTATTTTTATTTTATTCATTTATTTTCAATGAATGACCAATAGGTTTAGCTGAGCGAGACACAAATTTGTAAGGATCTTCAAAGGAACTTATATTAGTTTCTTTATGGGCATAAAGAAAATGGCAGTGAGCCCTATGAATCCAGCCCAGCTGGATATACAGTGGATTCCCAAAATGTTTTCTTTATGTCACAAATGAAAATGTAGCATTCTTGACATTCTAAAAAGCTGTTTCTTTTCTATAAAGTCGTATCCTGCAGATTCTAATTTATAAGACTGTGAATCTTGCTAGAGATTTTTAATTATCTTATTCCAAGCCATAATTAAGAAAAAATGTATGAACAGAAAAAGAAAAACATGGAAGAAAGAGGAGAATGGAAAGAGAGTAGGGTGATATCCTACCCAGGATTCTCCAGCTTCCCATCCACAGACTGATACTGGTCCATGTCCTGTTAGGAGCCAGGCCATATAGAAAGAGGTGAGTGGCTGGCAAGTGAGCCAAGCTTGGTCTTATTTACAGCCAGTCCCCTTCACTCACTTTATCACCTGAGCTCTGCCTCCTGTCAGATCAGCTGCAGATTAGATTCTCATAGGAGCGTGAACCCTATTGTGAACTGTGCATACAAGGGATCTAGGTTGCATGCTCCTTATGAGAATCTAATGTGTGATGATCTGTCACTGTCTCCCATCACCCCCAGATGGGACCATCTAGTCACAGGAAAGCAAGCTTAGGGCTCCCACTGATTCTACATTATGGTGAGTTGTATATCATTTCATTATATATTACAATGCAGTAATATTAGAAATAAAGTACACAATAAATGTAATGAACTTGAATCATCCCAAAACCGTCGCCCTCCACTGTCTGTGGAAAACTTGTCTTCCGTGAAACCAGTCCCTGGTGTCAAAAAGGTTGGAGACCACTGCTATACACGATGTTTCGCTCTGGAAAGTTTAGCCAATGAATGTCACTGGGCAGTAATAATGTGATTAGGGTGGGGTTTTGCCAGGGGTTCATTCACAAGGTATTCATAGGCTTCTGATCAGCTAAAATAGGTTTCAAGGATCCATAAAGCCCCTGAAATTGCATAGAAACATTTTTGTGTCTATCCACATGTATATTTACTTTTATAGAGAAAGTGTCACTAGCTTTTATCAAATTCACAAACATATTCTAAGATCCTTGCCTCCAGAAAATAGGCTACGGACCCCCACTTTAGGTTATTACTAGTTATCTGCTGTCATTTTCTTTTGCCAGAAATGAAGACAATACGTGTATGTGTGTAAGTGTGCGTGTGACCTGACAGAAAGGCTTAATGTTAACATATCTTGGTTAACTTATACTAAGCATGATGTTTTTAGGCATATTTTGATTTTCTACCTCTCATAACTAAGAAATTCAAAACTGCTTTTGTTTTTAGGCTATAAAGGCTTTTATTATCTATGGGACAAATGTCCATGTATTATCACTGAAAACAATAAGAGAGAATTTGGAAGCATAGATATATTCAGTATTTATGAAAAAGATGACAGTTTGCTCCATTCAGTTTTTAGCACCAAATTTAACAAAATGTATGTGGGTGTGTATAATATTCTGATACATTGACAAATATATTGGCAGAGAATAAACTGACCGTCTATTACTCTCAAACCAATCAGCCTATGAAATTTAATCCTTTTACCTATGTATGCTCTCAAATGGAGAGGGGGTGTCCAGCCGTCTTTCCTGCTGCCTTGTAGATGCTAGATCACTGGAACACGGTAGAAGATCCATGCTAAGGACTTCTCTCTCCACGAGAACACTGAGTGGATCACACTTGCTCTGTGAGTTGGAGTAAAGATGCCACCAACAGAATCCAAGAGTCAGAACTTGGCAAATTCTAGGATATCTTAGAAGATCCTAGAACAGGTCTAAATATATTGTCTGATATAAAACAGCAGGTATAGGGTATCGTTCCTTAATATGAAGTCAGTGAGGTAGGAGCGTGTGCTAAACCAAATCAAGGGAAAATCAAATAGCATGGCAAAAACGGCATTTACTTTTGCACCAATGTAATACTTCGGGAAATACCTCTTAAAATAACCTTTAACAATAGAAAATAGGCTATCTTTTGCAAGGCATGTTACAAAATACAAATCCCTATGGGGCGGATATTTTCATGACAGCGATTTTCCTCCAAGAGAGAAATGTTGTATTAACATTTCAAGTTAGGGCTTAGTCTTTTTATTTTTATTTTATTTTTGAAATGGAGTTTTACTCTCACTGCCCAGGCTGGAGTGCAATTGCACAATATTGGGTCACTGCAGCCTCTGCCTCCCGGGTTCAAGCAATTCTCCAGACTGAGCCGCTCAAGTAGCTGGGATTACAGGCACCCACCACCACGCCCAGCTATTTTTATTTATTTTTTATTTTTTGTTATTTTTAGTAGAGATGGTGTTTTACCATATTAGCCACACTGTTCTCATACTCCTAGCCCACCTCAGCCTTCCAAAGTGCTGGGATTACAGGCGTGAGCCACCACACATGGCCAGTGCTTAATCTTTAAAGTACCTTTCAACAGAAATTTACTCAGTCTTCATAATTAGCAGCAATAAGAGAAGTATCTCCTTTACAGACACCCAAAGAGAGCTTTAAAGAGACCTATTGTTTGGGTCACTAAGGGCCATTGCATCAAACAGAACAGCAAGGCCTTTCACCTCTCTCTTCTTGGATTGGAAAGTAATTCTCAAAACCTCCCCACCCACAGAAAACTCATGGGTCCCCAGGTCACTTCTCTCTCCTAGTTCCCTCTAGGGAACTGAAAGAAATCTTGACATCTTGCCTTGATCAACAATCATCATTTTCTTTTGCGTGTTTTAAGTGGAGATGCAAAACAGCACCCATTTTTGTGTAACTGGCATTTGGAATCATTGTTTTAAGATGAAAATCAAACCAGGAAAAACATCAAGTTAGATGAGATAAAGCCCTAGGAGGCTAAAGTATTTATGCTTTAGAAGTAAAACAGGTCACATAAGTCAAAAGTATCTTTTACTAATAGAGCAAGAAACCAAATCCCAAACTATTACTCATCACTGGGAAGCAGTTTCTTGGTATCAGACACAAGCATAGCTAAAGAAGTAAAAGGGAGAACTCAGATGTTCAAGAGTCGTTTTATTTTAGTTTATGTTTATGGAAGTGGCACAGAATTTTGATTATCTCTTTTTTAAGATAACTGCTGCATGTGCCCTCTAAGACCTCATTTTTACAGTACTTTCAATTCCTTAACTCTTCTGAGGCAGCAGAGAGAAAAAATACAGTATGATACCAAATTGAACAAAAGGAAGTTACTCAACAAAAAATCAAACTTGAAATGTCACTTAAAAATGAATTTTTCTTTCTTATCATGTCTCTCATGGACATTTGATTTTATTACTTCTCTTTAAGGTTGGGTTGAACCATGCACACAGCAATTAAAGCAATTTTCTCCTGAAAAAGGAAATGTCTCTGGCTCAGCATAAATAGCTTAAATACTTCTGGAAAACCCTTAATTCAGCGGCATCCAACAAATGTTTACTGAACTTCCATCATGTGCCTAGCTCCTTGCTCAGTAGTGGCAGATGCAATAATGGCAGATGCCATATCTCCTGGGTAATTCATCATGACAATCCTGCTGTCAAGATTCAATAATCATGCAAAAATTAGCCAGGCATGGTGGCAAGTGCCTGTAATCCCAGCTACTCATGTGACTGAGGTAGGAGAATTGCTTGAGCCTGGGAGCCGGAAGTTGTGGTGAGCTGAGACTCTGCCACTTGCACTCCAGCCTGGGTGACAGAGCGATACTCCATCTCAAATAATAATAATAATTAATCTGATTGTCTATGGCCAAAGATAGACCCATAATTCAGCCAGTAGCTGATTCAACAAGCTAAAATATGCCCCCAGCTGATTTTGATAGTCTTTAATAAAAAAGACCATGTAGGCATTTTCTTACCAATGTGATAACTTCAAGGAGGTGGCATTTTTTAACTTCCTGCTTTTCATATAGGAAACAGACCCATTGGAAAGATAAAAGACTTGCTTCAGATCATGTTTAGCTTCCATGCTCCTGGCTGTTGGTCTGATGCTTTGTCTGTTAACTAATTCCTTTTTCTCCCTCCTCACCCCAGGCCCTCCCCTGTAAAGTGTGGAACCCCATGCCTTCGCTGACCCCAGCATCCTCAGAGTTATGGGGAGAGGGCAAAGTCAAATAGACTTTCTAGTGGGAAAATTCATCTGAAGCGTTTTCTATAAATGTTTGCTCAGGACTATATCCCTTCATATGTTGCTACCTCCCCGTGCTCAGTAATTTTAGTTTGTGCTTTTTGTTTCTCTTTTTGTTTCTTTGGTTTGCTGGCTTTGTGTTCTTTTCTCTTTTTTCCTTTTCTTTTCCTTTTTTAATGCAGGAATCGGTCAAGGTGTCCCCGTGGTGGCGCTCATAGTGGAAGGAGGACCCAATGTGATCTCGATTGTTTTGGAGTACCTTCGAGACACCCCTCCCGTGCCGGTGGTTGTCTGTGATGGGAGTGGACGGGCATCTGACATCCTGGCCTTTGGGCATAAATACTCAGAAGAAGGCGGGTAGGTAACTTTCCAGTCCCCATAAGAGAACCTTAAAGCCTGTGTTCAATGCTTGGAAAAGAGGGTGTGAGTGGATTATGTTTTCAGTAGTTTAACTAAGACCTCAAATCAGAACCAGCTATTAACAGTTTGTCTAAAACATGTCTGCCATGGGAGGGCTGTGGTGAAGAACAGAGGAACATATTCTAAATGTCCTGTGAAGTGGGAAATTCAATGAAAGCTACACTGATAATAAAAAGAATGAGGAAAAGAGAGGAGGTCATAGGCTGTGATCTCCTTTTTCTTCTATTGTATCTCCTTCTCCTCCTCCCAATAAGGAGAAGCAAGTATTGTTTGTTTGTTTGTTTGTTTTAGTTATTATACTTTTAAGTTCTGGGGTACATGTGCAGAATGTGCAGGTTTATTACATAGGTATACATGTGCCATGGTGGTTTGCTGCATCCATCACCCTGTCATCTACATTAGGTATTTCTCCTAATGCTATCGCTCCCCTATCCATCCACCCCCTACTATCCTTCCCCTAGCCCCCACTCCACTGACAGATCCTGGTGTGTGACGTTCCCCTCCCTGTGTCTGTGTGTTCTCATTGTTCAACACCCACTTATAAGTGAGAACATGAAGTGTTTGGTTTTCTGTTCTTATGTCAGTTTGCTGAGAATGATGGTTTCCAGCTTTATCCATGTCCCTGCAAAGGACATAAACTCATCCTTTTTTATGGCTGCATAGTATTCCACAGTGTATATGTGCCACATTTTCTTTATCCAGTCTATCATCAATGGGCATTTGGGTTGGTTCCATTTCTTTGCTATTGTGAACAGTGCCATAATAAACATATGTGTGCATGTGTCTTTATAATAGAATGTTTATACTGCTTTGGGTGTATGCCCAGTAATAGGATTGCTGGATCAAATAGTATTTCTATTTCTAGATCCTTGAGAAATTGCCATGCTGTCTTACACAACGGTTGAACTAATTTACACTCCCAACACAGTGTAAAAGCATTCCTGAGCCAGGCGCGGTGGCTCACATCTGTAATCCCAGCACTTTGGGAGGCTGAGGCAGGTGGATCACAAGGTCAAGAGATTGAGACCATCCTGGTCAACATGGTGAAACCCCATCTCTACTAAAAATACAAAAATTAGCTGGGCATGGTGGCGCGTGCCTGTAATCCCAGCTACTCAGGAGGCTGGAGTGCAGTGGCATGATCTTGGCTCACTGCAACCTCTGCCTCCTGGGTTCAAGCAATTCTCCTGCCTCAGCCTCCTGATTAGCTGGGACTAGAGGCACATGCCACCACACCCAGCTAATTTTTTTGTATTTTAGTAGAGATCGTGTTTCACCATGTTGATCAGGATGGTCTTGATCTCTTGATCTTCTGATCTACCCACCTCAGCCTCCCAAAGTGCAAGGATTACAGGCATGAGCCACCGTGCCTGGCCCGTTTTCTGATTTTTTAATGATCACCATTCTAACTGGCATGAGATGGTATCTCAATATGGATTTGATTTGCATTTCTCTGATGATCAGTGATGATGAGCTTTTTTCATATTTTTATCGTCTGCATAAATGTCTTCTTTTAAGAATTGGGTTTTAATACATGAAGCACAGCCAGTCTGGACCAGACGGTGCAGGTTGGTTGGTAACTTCAGAGAAGCTGAGATGTTCAGCTTCCAGGCTTGGCCTTCAAACACCAGCATTGCCAAGTCGCTGTGAAGATATGTGGTAGATTGTGCCATCAGGTCTCTCTAGACAAGCTGGGAAGGTAAAATCTCTGTAATGGTAACCACTCTGGTCCTTTGTAAACTCCTCTTGAACCCCTCATGCCTTTTCCTTGGTCTGTTAGGCTTCTAATGCTGCTTTCAACAGTTCAAAGCCCAAAACCCTAGGAAGGAGTCCCCCTTCACAGCAAGTCTCTCCAATCTGAGTTCCCACTGATCAAATGCTGAAATCCAGGCACTCTTGTAGATTATAAGATCAAAATAAGCCATCCCAAGGTATGAGTGAGTTTAAGGGGGAAAACTCAGAGGAGCCATAGATGTTTTAAATAAGGGACTTCCTAATCTAATCAGTTCCCCAACACATGAAATTTGTGGGGGAAGAAAGCCCCAAATGAGATGATGGTCCTTTATTCATGCCTTTTTTTTTATTATACTTTAAGTTCCGGGGTACATGTGCAGAACACAAAGGTTTGTTACACAGTTATACACGTGCCATGGTGGTTTGCCACATCCATCACCCCATCACATACATTAGGTATTTCTCCTAATGCTATCCCTCCCCTCACTCCCTAACCCCAACAGGCCCCACTGTATGATGTTCCCCTCTCTGGGTCCATGTGTTCTCATTGTTCAACACCCACTTATGAGTGAGAACATGAAGTGTTGGGTTTTCTGTTCCTGTGTTAGTTTGCTGAGAATGATGGTTTCCAGTTTCATCCATGTCCCTGGAAAGGACATGAATTCATCCTTTTTTACGGCTGTGTAGTATTTCATGGTGTATATGTGCCACATTTTCTTTATCCAGTCTATTATTGATGGGCATTTGGGTTGGTTCCAAGTCTTTGGTATTTTGAACAGTGCCACAATAAATATACATTTGCATATGTATTCATGTCTTCTATAAATTTACATTAAGTGTTTACTGGATGCCATGCACTAGGCCAAACATTAAGATGTGAAAAAGAATAACATACAATTAATTGCCACTCTCAAGATGCTCACAGTAAGTTTACTAAGTAGAAAGCATTACAAAACAAAAATGACAAGTGAGCTCACCTACAACAGGATGCTCCCTCCTCCACCCTTCTCGTGCCCATCCCTCTCATACCCAGCCTGCCTTATTTAAATAGGGACTGAGTATGGCAGGTCAGTACCATCTCATCTCTTCCCTACCCCTTCCTCATCTTCGACAGCAGCCCAGCATTCCATGTAAGCCATTAAAACAGCACACCTACCTAGTTAGTAGATGAACCTAACTTAGTGAAATGAGGAATAACAAAAGGCATTGGGCCTCCAGCTTAACACTGCAAACCCAAAAGCTCTGATACCAAAAAAAAATCTAATTTTTATAAACTCAAAGTTGGAATTTGCTTCACTGGTAAATTTAGTTAAATTACTATTATCTTATTTTTTATAGTAAATATTTGTCCATTTTATAGCAAAGAATGTAAAAAGAGAGTATGTACCCAAACCTCTCTATCTCTACAACCAACCTGAGTTCAAGATCTTAATTGTGCTTTGTTTTATTAAAAGTTTAGCCAAGATTCTCTAAATCTAGCAATTTATCTAGATTTATCCTCTAAATCTAGCAATTTGTTCTGTTTTTCAGAAATAAACTTAATAATTTTAATACAGTGTTTAGCTCTGGCTTATATCTTGCTTTCTAGTTTTGAAATTATTTTATGATATTTCTACAAAGTAGATGCAAATTTGCGTTCAGAATGCACCTTTTGTTTCTCTGGTTTTTTTGTTTGTTTTGTTTTTGTTTTTTGGGGGTTTTCTGTTTGTTTTGTTTTTCAGAAAACTCATGGAAAAGTATAGACCTCAGCATTTCGGGCTTCTCAGGTCTATACATCATGAGAGCCAGGAACCTAGTGCCTATTATTTATCATGATCTTGTATTATCTGCCTTGAAAAGATTAAGATATGTGATAAGATTGCCCTTCCTGTTATAATATGGAAGAAATGTTATGTATTTTACAAATGGATGGGACCTAGATTATTTAAATTAAATTATTATTTAAATTAAGTGATTTGTCCAAAGCCACACAACCCAAGATCCCAGGCCGGAATCCCTTCTGGTGTATTATAAACATTTACTGAAATGTGTTTCATGGTATGTGCTTTAGTGTTCCTCATATAGTACTTCAATGATACTGTTTTTTAAATATTCAAATGAACTTCAGTTGCCTTCAGGTTCCTCTTTTCATTATACTTTAGTATTATTAGTTTTACTATTGGTATTCCAAAGAAATAAAAATCAGTGCATTCCTGGTTGTAAACCAATGTCCTAGTGGATCAACCCTATGTCATGTGGATTCTTTCCCTTTTCCTACCCAGACCATCATACACCAACCCTAAAATAAGAGTCAAAAATATCATGCTCTTTTAACTTTAATTAGCAGTTTTTGTTATAATTACCTTAAAGTATGCAAAGCACCATCTATGTGAGAGCTACGCGAACTATGAATGAACAATGGCTGATTATCAAGTAATATGAGTGTATGCACATAACTAGTGCAGAGGTAAAGAATTAAGTATAATTTTAGATCTTGGGACATCTTAAAATTAAAATTTTAAAAACTTTAAGAAACATTTAGAAATGGTTATTAAGAACATAGATGTCTAAAGAGAAGTTTTGTGTTTTATATGTAGTGTTAAGATAAAAAGTGTGCTCTTGCTCCAGGAAAGCAATTATAAATTCATCATGATAAAATGAAGTCAGAATGTTTCTCTGTGCCATCTGAATAACTTCAAGAATTTAATCATGTTTATTTAGCTTGATAAGAAATTGTCTAGCCACACATGTGCAGCCAATTTTAAAAATCATTTCCAAATAATGTTATCTTGCAGTAATGAGCCTTCTTTATGTTAAGAAAAAAAAATGGCCCACCTAGACCTTTTTCACCTGGAAGGATTTCTTCTCTGAATTTCAAGAAAGTCCAACATAGTTAAAAATGTTTCACTACAAATAAATATAAATCCATCATAATACACATAAAATTGGATATACAGAACATATATATCCTGCTTATGCAACCTTTATTTCAGGGCTGCATCAGCATCTTTTCAATTATTTTGATGATAACTTAAATATGATTAGAAATGTTTTAAGTTCATTTAAAGATTCTTAAATAATACAGATCCAAGAACTATAAATGTGTATATTCAGCTATATAGCTTTTCATTTTATAATCTTAAAGAGTAAAAAACAAAATTACACTTGACATTTTAACCTTTCTGAACTTTATATTTTTGTCTTTGAATTTCTTTCTAAGAATG